TTTCTTCCCGCAGAAGTTGCAGATTTTCCAGTGCAGATATTGGCCCACTCTGTCATGCCGGGTTTTATATTCAGTGGGTGCCAATATCGTGCAACCTGATACGAGATGATCAATCGTTTCTGGATATTATTATTATTTTTATTTCTTTGATTTCTGTTGTATACACATTTTTCCCTGGTCCACCCACAGAAAACTAAGGCCAGAAATGACTTCATGACATTTTGTACTGATCATTTTTTTGTAAAAAAAAAAAAATACCCCCCAAAAAAAAATCGAAGATCACGCATATTTTACATAAATGAAGCTCTTTGTAATGTCTAAGCTGTACTTGTGAGTACAATTCTTTGTCTTTTTTTTTCATTTCACTGTGTCTGTCGTCACCTTTTCCAATCAGTCCTACAAGAACTGGAATTATTGATGTCCTTATGTTCCACATCTTTGAGATTTCCACTTGAAGATCTTAGTATTGTGATAGTTATTTTAGTTATGTTCTAGTGGAACACAGCTATTCTATAGTTAATAGACTCTCCCACCTATAATAAGTAGGAGTAGCAATAGTAACGAGACAGTCGCTGAGGGGATCGGTCTGGGTTCAGTCGGACGACCGGCTGACCGGTTGAACTCTCTTCCTTCGGGCGGGGAGGAACCCGAACGAGGCTACGCCGAAGGGCGGAGTCTCTTTCGGCGAGGTAAACCGACCCTGAACCCGTTTATACGGGTTCAAATGGGCATATTTTTGGCTGAGCCCACGGGCTCGGAGATCCCACGTTAAACCGGCCTTGTGCCACATGATGCCCTCGTGGGGGGGGGTGACTAAATACCGTCGCTGAGGGGGTCGGTCAGTCAATCGATGCCGGAAGACCGTTAGTCGGATACTAAAGTATCAGCGACTACAACTAGATTTACTCTGCGTCATACTTATTATATGAAGTTCCTAACGTTTTGTACGTCGAACCTAATTTAGGACCGACTTAGTACAAATACAAGCCTCCACCGCGAAATAACTCCGCAACAAAAGATACATTACAATCTGCAGGGTTCTCTCATGTCAGTAAGAAAGCATATTTTGGTTTTGCGTTCTTTGATCACGGTGCCTGTGCGACTAGCTTTGATTATTTTGTCTGTGTGCATTATAAAACCCCATAAAATTGTTATAGATCCAATGTCTGTAACCGGGTCTGGGTGATGTTATTACAGTTTCCTTCCCGTAAAAGTTGCAGATTCCCCAGTGAAGATATTGGCCCGCTCTATCATGCCGTGTTTTTCAGTAAGTGCTAACACAGGTCAATTGTTTCAGGATATTTATCACAGAATCTGTATATTAACACAATTGTTCTGTATATGTGCTTGGTAATTTCTAGTTAGCAAGCACTGATACTGTAGGCAAGAATAAAACCATTGGTTTCAGCTTTTAAACCTGCACTACGTAAGCCCTGATGGATACTGGGTTTGTCTACATCAGATTATTTGGTACGGGCAGAGTATTAACCATGAAAAGTGTTGAAACTTGAATAAAACATGGAATAATAATAATACAACACAAAATGTACTTAAACAAAATGTATTGACACAAGAACGTGTACACAATATTTACAGATAGTTTGGTATATTCTTGGGAAGACCGTTCCTGTAGAATGGGTTGACTTGGATTGGATTGGATCTCTTCTTCCTCCCCCGTCTTCCCGGTACCAACCATATTTATATGGTCGGTACTCCACTATGTAAATTAGGTGGATCGTACCACAACAAAAAGTCTTATCATTCCATCGTTTCAGACCGTTTTTTACGAATACTCAAAAAAGTTTCAAATCAAGATTACACTATTTACACTGTGCCATGTGTCCCCAAAGACACATTGCACAGTGGATAAAGGCATTATTTAGATCCAGTAAAAGACCCAAAGAGTGTAAGTTCAATATCTGTTTAAGGCAGTGGAGAACTAGGAATTAACAGGAGATAAATAATAACTGACATCTATTAAATATGGCACGTGGAACTAGAACAGTCTACACCAGTGAGCGAAATAAAGGGTTCAGTTCGACATTCCAACCACCTGAAGAATGCCTGAGCGTACAACGGCCGAAACGTCGTGATAAATATGACAACAAATATAAGGACAATAGTAAATAGTATACGTAACACCTCATTTCAGAAATATAGACAGATAAAATCAAGATTAGTTTCAAAACTGCACTGTGCTATAAATTGCTTCGAACATTCTAGATTCTAAGAGAAATACACTCGGACACACCGCTAACTGTCAATATAAAATTCAGAAATCCTGCGTTTCTAGCTCTGACATCCGGGGATCTGTCTCCTAAGTAGCACCTCACCACTTTCTTGAGATATAATCCAACAGATACGATCTGTGGAAACAGTTGAGAGGATATGGCAATTGCTTGACGAGATGCCACTTATTTCTCGAATTGAATGTGATTACCTCATACTAGAAAGACTATATTTCGCAATATCCTTATGGCGCGACTAATAAAACCCACGCCCGGTAACTGGCTTGCTTTCGTTGGTAGGTCGGCAAAAATTACACACTGATATTTTCGCTCACGAAGCCGCATCAATAACACATTTACGCACAAATAGACGTATGCACTCAGGTTGAAACAAGCCAGACGCCATCAGTGACTGATCAAAGTTTCGCAAAGCACAGAAATAAAGAAAGGAACCAAAAAAAAAAAAAAACCATCATGATAGACGACAGCAGAAAAATAATTGACAGAAAAAGACAAACAGAAACAATAGCAACTATAATAATTGAAGGAAATCTCTTGATGATGAAACGCGGGGAAATGATAGTCAATGAAAAAAAAACAAACATGGATGCCAAAATAAAATAAAAAGGAAGTTGAGGCGGACAGAGAAAATAAGATAGAGAAAGCAAGTCAGAAAGAAAGAAAAGAAAAAACGGAATGAAAGTGAAATAGAGAGATGGGAGGGAGAAGAAATAAAATGATAAAGAAAGATAGATAGAGTAAAAAGAGAAGAGAAGCGTATAAATACACTAGCAGTAGAGCCCGGCGTTGCCCGGGGATGTAACTGTAAGAGATAGATCAAGTATCGACCATCATAAAGACTGAAAAATAAAATTGACAAAGATTATTGTTTAAGATTGACGGACACGAATGTCTTAATTAGTTTTTTTGTTGTTTTTTTTTTAACGAATTGGTCAAAACCAAACTAAAAAAAAAACATTGTTTTCAATCGTTATGAGTCTACCGATTGAATAGAATTTTATTATAAACAATTGTCTTTTAAATGGAATTTTTAAAGCATTCTGAATGTAAAAATAAAGAAAAAAGTGTGCAAGACAATAAGAAACACTACCTGCCAAAAAAAAAAGTTTTGTTGAAATCGGTTGAAAAATGTAGGAAATTCAATCCCATATATAAACGAGCACACACACACACAAGCAAGCTGGGTTTTATAATAAGTATAACTCGATATTAATTTTTCCCCCTTTCATTCTGGCGACAGACTCATGTTTTCAAATTGATTTCGTGCAAAAACAATTGTGTTTTTCCAATTTTGGGCGCTGTCAGAACCACCGCAAGGTAATTTTACGCAATCCTGGGAAGTTTTGTTGAAATCGGTTGAAAAATGTAGGAAATCCGATCCAATATATAAACGTACAGATGCACACCTACAACCTGGGTTTTATAATAAGTATGATGTATATATATAGGTAAAACCTTCAGTGTCTGTCTATATTTCTGAGATGAGGTATTATGTACACTATTTACATTACTCGGAGTACTGTTCTCATCATTGTTGCCATATTTATCACAACGCTCCGGCCTTCTTCAGGTGGTTGGAATGTCGCTAAGGTAGCCATGTCTAATGCGTGTCAGTTATCTCCTGTTAATTCCCCATCTCCCAAGTCTCTCCACTGCCTTAACGGGATATTGAACTCACACTGTTTGAGTCCTATCACTAGCCAACACCTTTAACCACTGTGCCATGTGTGCTTGAGGACATCTGTGTATGAATTTCTGGGATTTATAAACTTAATGTCTTCAGCAACCATTTTTTACCAGTGCTCATATTGCAATTTTTGCTGTTATCATTGCATGTTTTGTGTTTTTTTTTTTTTACAAGTTCTTATATTATTGCTTCAATAAAGGGTTCAGATTGACATTCCAACCACCTGAAGAAGGCCGGAGCGTACATCGGCCGAAACGTTGTGATAAATATGCCAACAAAGATGAGAACAATACTCTGAGTAATGTCAGTTATCAGTTATCTCCTCTTAATTTCCTTCTCCAAGTTCTCCACTGCCTTAACCGGGTATTGAACTCACAGTCTGAGTACTATCCACTGTGCCATGTGTCCATCTGTGTATGAATTTCTTGGACTTATAAACTTAATTTCTTCAGTAATCATTTTTTACCAGTGCTCATATTGCAATTTTTCCTGTTATCAGGGCATTTTTTTTTTTTACCAGAGCTCATATTGCATATTATTGCTTTCAGTTTGACATTCCAACCACCTGAAGAAGGCCGGAGTGTACATCGGCCGAAACGTGATAAATATGGCAACAAGGATGAGGACAATAGTCTGAATAATGTAAATAGGGAAAACCTCATATACCGGCGCGTGTCGCTCATTGAGGAGTATTTTCAAGAGCTGTCTAATTTAAAATTTGAAAATTTAATTTCCTTTTATTTTTCTCCATGTTACTTCTGTCCATAAATAGAGGTTAAGAAATAAAATGTCTACACTTGCCTTGATGAAGGTCATCAAGGTATGAAAAGCGTTGAAATATAAGGTTTTTCCACTTGTCTTTTCTTTTACTGAGAGAAAAAAAGGGAAATTTTGAGTATTAAGCAAGAAGACGAAGAAGTAAGTAAAAGAAGGAAAGAAAAAAGAAAGAAAGAAATAAAGAAAGAAAGAAGGGAGTGTTTGAAAGTCAAAGTAGAACGATAATGGTTGAAAGGAATATTAACAGATACAGCAATAAACACTTAGAAAGCGATAGATACATAGATTTAATAGATAGATAGATAGATAGATAGATAGATAGATAGAATCGTAAATATAGATAGAATCATAAAGATTGATGGATAGAATCGTAAAGATAGATAGATAGATAGATAGATAGATAGATAGATAGATAGATAGATAGATAGATAGATAGATGAGAGAAGAGATAGGAAAATAAAGGCGGTAGACAGACAGATAGTAATGGTGAAAGTAATAGTAATATTCGCTGCTTCCTTATAAATAAACATTTGCTATTATATGAGATTAAATAGACTGACAGAGATATATTGAAGAGGATAGATAGATAGATAGATAGATAGATAGATAGATAGATAGATAGATAGATAGATAGATAGAAAAATAAGGGAGGTAGACAGACATAAAGTAATGGTGATAGTAATAGTAATATTAGCTGTCTCCTTATAAGTAAACATTCACTATTATATTGTCTTAAATAGACTGATATTGATATATTGAAGAAGATAGATAGATAGATAGATAGATAGATAGATAGATAGATAGATAGATAGATTACGGAATATGATTGATACCGAATAGATAGATAGATAGATAGATAGATAGATAGAATCGTGAAGATAGATAGAATCGTAAAGATAGATAGATAGATAGATAGATAGATAGATAGATAGATAGAAGAGAATGAGAGATAGATACATAAAGAGAGAGACTAAAGAGAATGATAGATAGATAGAATAAGAGAGATAGGAAAATAAGGGAGGTAGACAGGCATATAGTAATGGTGACAGTAATAGTAATATTAGCTGTCTCCTTATAAGTAAACATTCGCTATTATATGGGCTTAAATAGACTAACATTGATATATGGAAGGGTACAGATAGATAGATAGATATGAATAGAATGGGGTAGATAGATTGAGACATCCTATGATAAAAAATAGTTATAAGTTGTGCTATATTTATGGGTAAAAGGGGGCACAAAGGTCAAAACTAAGTGGCGACAGTCTGTTTCATACGTGAACGCACCCATCTGGCCATGGCCTGCCTGAAACTGCACAGGGATGCTACGATTTGGCGGTTGGAAAGTGACTGAAGCCGAGATGCCATTGTCAGGACCGATAACATTGCAGATTCTTCTTTGTATTCTACCAAAAATGTCTAAATATATAACAGGAACACCAACCCAATAGTGAAAATAAGGATGACTTTTAGTCTTCTAAATATATATATATATATATATATATATATATATATATATATATATATATATACATATATTTATAAGTGTGTGAGTATGTGTGTGTGTGTCAAACAAAAGGAATTAGGATTACATTGATCATTTTCACCTTGTGTTATGGGACCTTACCCATAATAACATAATAGACTGTTCCATACGTAATAAATACTGCGCCTCAAGAGGAAGCGGAGAGTTTAATCTGAAGTCTGGAGTGAAATCCGTCAGGAGTCTGTCAGTCAGTCAGAGCGAGCGAGTCAGTCAGTCGAGTCAGAGGCAGTCCGAAACAGAGTCGCGTTCAGACAATTACTACTAAACCTGATTGTTCATACAAACACTTCTACTTCTCTGTATATATTCCTGTTTGTAATATATCTGTGTTATTCCATATCCGTATTCGAGTTCTTCTTTATTGGTTCTACCTTGGACTATCACCATGGTACAAGGAACCGGACCATAACACCTTGTAAATTGAAATACAATTTACAAGGATTTTTCAAACCAACCTATGGGTGATGAATTGGCCAGACAGTGGAAGTAAGGAAAGAACGAAAGGAAAAAAGAAGAGGAAAAAGGGAGGAGATAAAAACTAGGAAGTAGCGTAAGTCTGGATATGAGAGGTGGTCAGAGGAGAAAGAAAGAGTAAGGCGGGGGAGAAAAAGAGAAGAGGTGATCTATTTATTTTAAACACAGTAGCAATCAGAAGATAGTTTAGACTTATGGAAAACCTTAAATCTATAAACAAAAATATTTTATTACATATATATATATATATATATATATATATATATATATATATATATATATATATATATATATATAATACCTAGTGAGCCAGACAAACCTACCTAGGTTTCACCTAAACGGATCGCCAGGAAAGTTTTTGCCAAACTTTCCCTGACGATCCGTTTAGGAAAACCTAAATAAATTTGTCTGGCTCACTAAATGTATCTAGGTCTCTCTCTACGGTTGTATTGAGCTCTTTTGTTAGTTAGTTGTTTACTCGTATCAGGGTTTTTTCTTTGGGCTTCAGACCTGCATCTGTGCGATTTTTTTGTCGGCAGAAGTTCATCTTTGTAGCTCTTTCTTTTTTTAAAACCTTTTTTTCCCTCGAGATTGATTTGATTAGCAAATAAAAATTCGAGGTTTTCAAACAAGTCTAGTTATCTATCTATCTATCTATCTATATATATATATATATATATATATATATATATATATATATATATATATATATATATATATTCAATTTATCAACACAATTATTGATTCTTACTGTTTGTTTGGTTTCTCTCTTGCACTCTCACTTATTCTGAAACAAACACACACATAAATACATACATGCATATATATATATATATGTATGTATGTATATATTATGTGTGTTTACATAAATACATACATACATACATATATATATATATGTATGTATGTATTTATGTGTGTGTTTGTTTCAGAATAAGTGAGAGTGCAAGAGAGAAACCAAACAAACAGTAAGAATCAATAATTGTGTTGATAAATTGAATGACCATGTGGAATGATCTTCAAAGATGGTGAGGAGAGGTGAAAATGTGTTAGTATGAGAATCTTTTCCTATGTAAGTAAATATACAAAATCAATAGTTCAAAACAATAAGAAATAACGGAGGATTTCGAAAGCACAATAAATGCGTCAAATATAGACTATCCCGTGGCGCAAGTCTGATATTTTTGTTGGTCCCCAAATGTCTTTCATTGTTTAGTAATGGTTGCTCAGATGACCCGCAATGTTACGCAGATGATTTATTAAACAAATACGTTAAACCTTACGCTCACTCGTATGATTACATCTAGAGTGACAAGGTCCCATTGAGCCAGTGGGGATTAAAAAGAAACAATAATCAATCCTGTTTTTAACACAGAATGCAGCGGAATCAGGTACAAGTGGCGACCCCTTTGCGTTTAAAGTATTTCTGAAGTAACAGACATATTTCGGCTACTGAAAAGCGCGTACACTATCACATCTCTATCTATAAAAGGCAGGATGTGTGTGTGTGTGTGTGTAACGAATGCACGGCCGTAATTTTCGACGGATTTGCACCAAAATTTACATGCACATGCTCCAAGTTAGCGGAAAAGCCCAAGACCGGCTTTGCATTTCCCAACTCCCATCGAAAGTGGAAATAATCGATTTTTTCATGCTTCTACGGCAGTTTTCTTCTAGTTTGCGGCCATTTTCTACTGGCCAAAGTGAGAGCCTATAGCTGGCTGCCACGAATAGGAAGGAAGATTCTATTGGCCAGCGTGAGAGCCAACAGCTGACTGACACGAATGTTAACTAGCATGCTAGCACGCAAAAAAAATCTATAACTGCATTCGTCACAAGTGGGAAAAATTTAAATCTGCATGGCACTTTACTCCAATTGGCTAATTCGCTCGCTTAAACTCAACGTTGATTCTGATTCCGCAGAACTGGGTTGGGTGTAAAAAAGTATTTGTTGTTAACATTCTTTTTTCATTCAGTTTTTTCAGTTACGAGTCATTTTTTTTAAAGCTGATCGTTTTGTGTTCATTTTGTTTAGTTCTTTTTTCGTAAGAGATTTAATGTTTAGTATAGAGCCTAGAAAAAATTCGCAGTGTGAGATAGGCAAGAAGTAAGGCATCTAGCAACATCAGCACGGCAAAGGGCTCTCCTTTAAAGGCAAGGAAGGGCAAAAATATTTTAAGTCAAGTGATAGCGATTGCTGTATGAATCGTACGATATTTGAATGAAGCACGGGCAACGCCGGGCCATGCTGCTAGTTAATAAATACATCGGTTAACTTATTAGGCTGAATTAATTTGACTGATTTGTGTTTTTACGGTCTATCAATGTTTTTACAGCCAGACAAAGACTTCCAAAAGCAACAACAATTAAAATAGATACGACAAGCCGAGATGCCAAGTCAGGACTAATAACACTGCGGATACTTCTTTGCATTTTATCAAGAATCTCTAAAAATATAGCAGGAGCACCAAGACAAACGTGACAGCAATATATCAATGCATCGGTGAATAAATCTCTAAGACAGATCTGTAAGACAGATTCTGGTGAGAAAAATTATCTGACATGGCATAGTGAAGCAAATTTTAGCAACGGATCTGGCAATTGATGCGAGAAAATCATTCCATTTCTTGTCAGCGGAAAACTTTAGTCCAAAATGGCGCAATGAATCATTCCTCTGGAGGTTAGCATCAGCCATACTGATGGCAGGCAAAAAGAGATCTCTGAGACGAGTAAAAGAAAGAAGTTTTGTTTCGGAGGCGTTAAAATTAACAAGTCATTCTTTGCCCCAGTTAACAACAGATTCTTGGTATATTTTTTTTCAATGTCGATAAAACGTCAAATGATGAAAATACCATGGAGACGTCAGGGGGTTTTAAGGATGATAGGAAGTATAGGCAAACTGTTGATACAAAGAGGGAGCAGAATTGTCCGCGGTACATAATGAGGAAAGAAGGCATGGCGAATTTTGCATCCACATGGCGTCAATCAATTATATGCCATGCATGATACACGCTTAGACGATCATGTATCTTTCGATACATGACTGACAAGGAAGATTATTTCCCCCGCAGTAGGTTGCCATTTCTTTCTGTAGCAGACTAGCTGCCATCCAAGGCTATAGAACCCGGTCTGTTCTGCTATTTACCCAAGGGGAGAAGAAGAGGATTCATACCTTTCCCAAGGGTATTAGCATGTAAGTAAATGTCATAGGTTCGACTGGAATTCGAATTCGGCTCTCCGATTCCTCAATCCGTGCCTCCTAGTCAGTTACGTGCCATGCGTGATACACGCTTAGGTAATCATGTATCTTTCGATACATGACTGCAGATTTTTTCCCGCAGTAGGTTGCCATTTCTTTCTGCGGTAGACCAGTTGCCATCCAAGGCTACAGAACCAGGTCTGTCCTGCTATTTACCCTTTGCTGGGGAGTGGGAGAATAGGATTCATACCTTTCCCAAGGGTATTAGCACGTAAGTGAATGTAATGGATTCGACTGGAATTCGAACTCGGCTCTCCGATTCATCAATCCGAGCCGCTATCCATTACTCCACGGTATTGAGTGAAACGATAGTGGAATGAGGAGAAATAGACACTATAAAGGGAAAAAAAACTTTTCAGTTTTAATGAAACGTGCAAACACACACACATATACATATATATATATATATATATATATATATATATATATATATATATATATATATGCATATTTAATAAAACATGCATATATATATATATATATATGCATGTTTTATTAAAAACGACAGACAAGTTACTACGGTTAAGCTTTTTATTTAATTTTTCTTGTGTTCAAACAAGAGCTTTCTTTTCTGGACAAAGAGTGTGTAAAAACTGTCCAAATGTTTTATATTTCCGAGCGCTTTCGGCTATACGTTTAGCCATTATCAAGGATGATTCCATTTTTCAGCTTAATTGAGTGTGTGCATTATGTGTATGTCTTAGTGTGTGGTAGGGATGTTTTTAATTTCCGAATACGGTTAGCACATTTTGGCTTTGTTCGTAGTTAATATTGTTAAGAGTTGGCTTTTTCTTTTTTATTATTAAAGCTTCCATTATTTTTAGTCGTTTTTTGCAGGTGGATGCAGTTAATATATGTGTGTTTTCTACTAGTATGTTTCTAATGGAGTCTGGCAAATTTGTGTGTGTGTTTAAATGGATTCTAATGGCGCTGTGATCAGATAGGTGTAACGTAAGACGTCTGGATAAGCATGTAGTTGTGTAACCGATGTAAAGTAAACAGTTTATCCTGAAGATCCGTTTAGGTGAAACCTAGGTGGGTTTGCCTGGCTTTATTATTTATTCTAGTATATATATATATATATATAGTCTTTCTTCCAATGACTTGTCCGAATTGTTTGGGACAATAATAACAATGAACAGTTACTACACTCTAATCCCCATAACAGGAAAACTGTAAGAACATTTGAAAAACTAAACCAAATTATAAAATTTACGTCGTCTGTATCTTTTATGCGTATGCTCAATGTCGTGGGTAAAAAAGATCCCCGACTTCTTGTTCAGGCACTACCAATAAAAAGCTGTTACCCATATAGTTACCCTTGACGGATCTCAGTCGAAAAAGTGTGAGTGTGTCCGCCTGCGAGTACTTCTACGAAGTAGCCTTACTTTGGGCTTGATATGATACGTCTTAGTATATGTAATTCCTAGGTATGACGATAAACTACACCCGGCAGATTGGAGGTTTTCATGACCTTAGAACGACCTCATATTTGTTGTTGTTGCTACCCGGTCCACCCTGACCCGGCGTGGTAGTACCTATTAGGGTCCCAGCTATGGGAAAATAGTTATTTGATTTTTTGGGGAGGTGGATGACTAAGGAAGTATAAAAATATATTATAGGAAACATACCAGCAATATATTTATTAAAAAAATGACCTGTACTAATACATTTTTATAGGAAAATGAAAATTATTGCGATACTAAAAATATATATAAAAATACATTTTTTCAAGTTAAATTTAAGAACGATATTTTTTATTATCTACAAACTATACATCTAAAAAAAATCTTATGTTAGCCCTGAAAGTAAGAAATTATATGAAAACATATCTGTAGTTGAAGCCATAAAATTGCGTTCCAAATATTTAGATTTTAGCATTAAATAACCCATAGAAATCTTGATATGACGCTAAATAAAATGGCGTGCAGAATTAATTTTAATTTCATCCATCACGAAGAGAATGAGTCCGAACTTTTATTGTCGATAACTCCAAAACGTTAGATTTTATCAAAATTTCTTTGTTATTTTCGAATTAAGCATGTACATTTACACCAAAATGGAACTCTTCGGGAAGTTTTTATTAGAAACTGAGCGGGGGGCTTGAAATGCAAATTACCCTTTTGAGATTCCGAGGTGAAATTAGTTCCGTCACCCAATAAAATCAACCAACCAAACAACCAAACGTGAACATAGTAAATTAATGCGCACAGGGAAAGCAACTGACAAGACTTAAGAAATGTCTATGAATCATTTGAGCGTTCGAACCAAACTCAAAACTAGATAAATAACTATCAATAAATTTTATAGTAAAATTAGCATGCATTGTCAAAATAATTTTATACAAAATAATTTTATATAAAATTACCCATAATGCATTTTTGTAGTGAAATTACCAGCAGAACATTTTTTTTTATATAAAAAAGGTTACCAACAATAGATTTTTATAAAGAGAATTATAAGCGATACGTTTTTATAGTAAAGTCAACAATAATATTTTTGTAACAAATTGACGATAAATACAACATTAAAAAAGTATAAAATATTTTTTTTCTAAAATAAGCAGCAATACATTTTTATAAAATAATTTACCAACGATATATTTTATCATCTACAAACTATATATCTAAAAAAATCTTAAGTTTGCCCTGAAAGCATAAATTTATGTAAAAATATAACTGTAGTTGAAGCCATAAAATGGCGTTCCAAATATTTAGATTTCGTCATTAAATAATCCACAGAGGTCTTGATATGGTGCTAAACAAAAACAACCAACTAAGCAAATATTAGTACATGTATAGTGAGAGAATATGCTCAAGCAAAAATTTCTTGGAAAGAAAGAAAGAAAGAAAGGAAAAAAGAAAAAGAAAGAAAGAAAGGAAAAAAGAAAGAAAGAAAGGAAAAAAGAAAGAAAGGAAAGGAAAAAGAAAGAAAGGAAAAAGAAAGAAAGGAAGAAAGAAAAAGAAAGAAAGAAAGGAAGAAAGAAAGGAAAAAGAAAGAAAGAAAAAGAAAGAAAGAAAGAAAGAAAGGAAAAAGAAAGAAAGGAAGAAAGAAAGAAAGGAAAAAAGAGAGAAAGGAAAAAGAAAGAAAGAAAGAAAAAAGAAAGAAAGGAAAAAGAAAGAAAGGAAGGAAGAAAGAAAGAAAGAAAGAAAGGAAAAGAAAAAGAAAGAAAAAGAAGGAAAGAAAGAAAGGAAAAAGAAAGAAAGGATTAAATAAAAAAAGAAAGAAAGGAAAAAAGAAAGAAAGAAAGAAAGAAAAAGAAAAAAGAAAGAAAAAAAATAAAGTAGGAAAAGAGTCGTGGAAAAGGGGTGGGCTGTAGAAAAGGTGTACGGAGACAGAATTTGTTCAGTCACGTGGACAATGGCCGGTCTAAAACTATAAGCATCTAACGAGTTCGACTGGCGCGGACGGCTTTGCTCATTAAGCAACCCCCGCTAATCCGGATGTTTACTTTAATCCGTGCCCGGTCTAAGCAAACGTCTTGCACCGGAATCGCAAACACAATCAGTCCGTTTGTTTGAACACATTCCCAAGCGTTACGGCCACGATATAAATTACGTCCCTGTTAAGACGTTATCAGAAATATAATCAGAGCCAATCAGATCACGCGAATCACTTGATTACAAATGACAATGAATTGGAAGCTTATCGATATTGGATGACAAGTATAGAGCACTGATGAGAAAACATTTGAAAGTCACAGCTTCTTGTAGTCCCAAATGTTTCAGAGGGAACGACAAGGAAAGTAACCCTCTGGATGTCAACACTGTCATCTCTGCGTCGTTTCAGAAGTAATAAGTCTTAACCGTCGCAGTGATATTGAAAGGATACCTCAATCTCACGTGGCATTAAAAGAATAGAATAATTTACAGTGAATAAGTTCCAAGAGCCACTCAAGGTAGAGTGTTAATGAATGTGGTTGTTGAAAAATGTTAAAAGGAAGGAGCAAGAAATGCATATTATGAAGATATGTACGATAGATAACGGTTGACTTGAAGAGGTGAAAATCGTAGTGATCAAGGAAAGCATCCCCACGGGAATTTGTTCTGGAGTTAAAGTAACATTTAAGAAACGATAAAAAGCTGTCGTTTTCGATACAAGAATAAAAGTATGGGTATTCACTAAGGATCGAATGCATAATAGTATCAATAGTCATCAACCCGTGATCGTTAACCATTACCTTACTCTCATAAGGATGTCATACATGGCTTCCAACTCGTTAAATGTTTATATTTTCATCTGAAAATTGTTTTCTCAGATGAATGATTAAAAATGGCTTCAGACGAATAAATGTTGGCTGATTCGTTTTTTACGGATTATCAACCCTTTGTTGGTTATTTAAAGCCGGAACATATTTTTTTTAGATTGTAAGGATATTTTTTTTTTTTTTTTTTTTTTTTTGTGGGCGAGTATTGCATGAAAAATTTTTGGGTGATAACAATGATCTTTTTCAGATACAAGACTGTTGTCAAGTAGGACTCGGCGTACTTCCTTCTCTCCCCTACAACTGTTAAAATTGACTCTTCCTACTCACAAATATGGCCAGTAGAGTAGGATTTGAGGAGTAGCTGATTTACTCAAAGTGTTTTTTTTTTACGTTATATATGAGTATTTAATAAACGTCTTATTCTTTGTTTTCCCCTAACTAGTTTTCCGTTCTTTCGATGTTCTCTCTAACTACGGCCATCCTAATTCTAATTTTTGAATAAACACAAAATTACCACAAAGACCAACTATTTAACCCATGGGTGGGGGAGAAGAAGAGATGGATTTATACCTTTCCCAAAGATATTTGCGCGCAAATGGCACGGTGGAGTAATAGCGTCTTGGATTGAGCAATCGTAGAAACTATTTCATCGCATTCACTTACGTGACTTGGAAAAGGCACGAATCCATCTCTTCTCCCCCACCTATAGGTTAAATAGCAGGACAGTCCTATAGTCTTGGGTTTAGGAGAACGAAAAACAATGAATTTAAGACAATCCTGGAGAGGTGTTGGGTGCCGTCAGGTTATCTTGCCCAGTAAACACCCTTGCTACTACGTCTGCAGTTCGTATGGAGTCCGTAATGAGTTAGGGGTCTCGTGATTTTGATTTTGAATGCAACGAACTCGAGTGAAATTCGAACTTGGCTCCCCGATTTATCATTCCTAGCCGCTATGGATTATATCATCTGCACATTCATTCAAAGGAATAAACCCATTAAATTTTAAAGAAGGTCGATTCTTCATCAAGGCCCTACCGAGATATCAAAAAGCTAGAAGTTATTAAAGGCTGCAAAGGACAGGAAATTGTGGAGATCCATGATCGCCAACGCCTTGGAGGGAGACGGTACATAGAAGAAGAAGAAGAAGAAGAAGAAGAAGAAGAAGAAGAAGAAGCAAAAAAAGAAAAAAAGAAAAAGAAAGAAAAGAAGAAGAAAAAAGAAGACGAAGAAGAAGAAGAAGAAGAAAAAGAAGAAGAAAAAGTAGAAGAAAAAGAAAAAGAAGAAAAAAGAAGACGAAGAAGAAGAGGAAGAAGGAAAAGAAGAAGAAAAAGTAGAAAAAAGTGGAAGAAAAAGAAAAAGAAGAAAAAAAGAAAAAAGAAGACGAAGAAGAAGAAGAAGAAGAAGAAGAAGAAGAAAAAGAGGATGATGATGATGATGAAGAAGAAGGAAGAAAAAGTAGAAGAAAAAGAAAAAGAAGAAAAGAAGTAAAAAGAAGACGAAGAAGAAGAGGAAGAAGGAAAAGAAGAAGAAAAAGTAGAAAAAAGTAGAAGAAAAAGAAAAAGAAGAAAAGAAGAAGAAAAAAGAAGACGAAGAAAAAGAAGAAGAAGAAGAAGAAGAAAAAGAGGATGATGATGATGATGAAGAAGAAGAAGGAAGAAAAAGTAGAAGAAAAAGAAGAAGCAAAAAAGAAAAAGAAGAAGCAAAAAAGAAAAAAAGATGATGATGATGATGATGATGAAGAAGAAGGAAAAGAAGAAGAAGTAGAAGAAAAAGAAAAAGAAGAAAAGAAGAAAGAAGCAAAAAAGAAGACGAAGAAGAAGACGAAGAAGAAGAAGATGAAGAAGAAAAAGAAGAAGAAGAAGAAGAAGGAGAAGAAGAAGTATTGAAAACTGAATATAATATTTCCTCGTTCTTGGCAGATATAAGATTACAAATGTCTATGTCAGCGAAGGATTATTTTTCAAAGCGCTTTAAACCAATATTATAAGAAACGTAATACTAACAAATATCAAAGGCGAAATGACCAAAGGTTATTATGTAACGTTGATTCCCTTTTAGACTAGATTCATACATACGGATAAACAACAACGAATCTGTTAAAATTAAAACAGATACTAATGACTAATTTCTCCATTTATAAATTATTAAAAGATGCTTATCATTTTAATAAAAAATTTTGGCGTGTTCAAGAGCAGAAAAAGTAAAATAAAATAAGAATTTTGAAATGCTTTTTCTAATTTTCTTTTTTACAAATTCGATTATATTTCTGAAAATCTTCAAGAAAAATAAATTCCGTGAATATTTTTTCCAAGCTATATATATATATATATATATATATATATATATATATACATTATACTTTTTTTTCTATAAAGGAATAAATAAATAAATAAGTTCAAACTGATTTTAATTCCCCAAGGGATTATTTTTTATAAATATTTGTCAAACTTATTCCCGATCAAGCGAAATTTCAAAAGTAGGTTGGGATTTAACATTAATGAAAAAATATATATATATATATATATATATATATATATATATATATATATATATATATATATATATATATATATATATATATATATATATATTCTTTTTCATTATATATATATATATATATATATATATATATATATATATATATATATCTTTTTTTCATCATTATATATATATATATATATATATATATATATATCTTTTTTCATTATATATATATATATATATATATATATACATTTTCATTATATATATATATATATATATTCTTTTCATTATATATATATATATATATATATCTTTTTTATTATATATATATATATATATATATATATATATATATATATATATATATTTTTTCATTATATATATATATATGTGTGTGTGTATATCCCTACTTTTTCCGAGTAAGCTTTTTAATAAATTCAGTTATTGATGCAGTAAGTAAAGGAATGTCTACAAAATTGCATTTAAATGAATTTTCTGAAGGTTTTTTTTTTTTAATGCCACCGTATCCCGCTTTCAAATTCTACTTGTATTCCTTTTTACGTTTCAAAAATAAATCTAAAAAAAAAAAAAAAAAAAATTAAAAACACAAATGTCTCCATTTATATAAAATGGACAATTTTCTTTACAATATCAAAATATTTTCTGATAATTCTAATATATGAATTACCTCAGATGATTCCAGAATAAACTTTGCACTCAACGTCACACTCCAGCGTTTCTCAACCTTTTTACCCCGTGGAACTCTTGAAGTAAGCTTTCATGTTTAAAGGAACAACTGCATAAAAAAAAATTATTATACAGGGGGCTGGTTGCAAAAGTAGGTATACAGTAAGAATAGATTAGCGTAAGGATGGCCAACCTGTGACGCATGCGCCGTAAGTGGCACAATGGATGCTTACAAGTGGCGCTTTGCATCCTTTTGATGAAAAGAAACTAAGCCACTTCTATTCATTTCACTTCAGTGATTTTATATTTATTGCACGTCCTTTGCGAAAGTGCTAAAACGATACGCCTTTGGTCATAAGCATATATTTTTCAAATAAATACATTTTATTATAACTTTAAAATATGTCCATATGACAACACGTACTGAAAGGAAGGGAATGTTTGTGTGGCGCATTTAAATTAATCGTACAAAATATTGGCGCATGGAATCAAAACGTTGGCCACCCCTGGATTAGCGTGTGAATGCCAGGGGCAAAAAATTAAAACATTTGAGGGACTGATATGTTTATTATTGATATGTTATCTTACTTATTATAAAACACAGAATGTGTGTGTGTGTGTGTGTGTGTGTGTGTACGTTTATATACTGGATCGGATTTCCTACATTTTTCAACCGATTTTAACAAAACTTCAGAGGACTGCGTAAAATTACCTTGCGGTGGTTTTGACAGCGCCAAAAATTAGAAAAACATAATTGTTTTTGCATGAAATCAACTTGAAAACACGATAAAACATGATCCTGTCGCCAGAATGAAAGGGGGACAACTCATATCGAATTATACTTATTATAAAACCCAGGTTGTTTGTGTGTATGTGTGTGTTCGTTTATATATGGGATCGGATTTCCTACATTTTTCAACCGATTTAAACAAAACTTCACTTTGGGGAGGGGGATCAGGTAGTGTTTCTTATTGTCTTGCACACTTTTTTCTTTATTTTTACATTCAGAATACTTTAAAAATTACATTTACAAGCCAATTGTTTATAATAAAATTCTATTCAATCGATAGACTCATAACGATTGAAAACAATGTTTTTGTTTGAGTTTGGGTTTGACCAATTATTAAAAAAAAACAAAAACAAAAAACAAATTAAGACATGCGTGTCCGTCAACCTTAAACAATAATCTTTGTCAATTTTATTTTTCAGTCTTTATGATGGTCGATACTTGATCTATCTCTTACTGTTACATCCCCGGGCAACGCCGGGCTCTACTGCTAGTAATAAATAAATTATATATTTTGTTTTGATTTTCTTAGTATTCCAATTTTTCTAATCGTCACCTTTTTCTTCATCGCGCATCCACATACCCACCCACGCGTTAGATCAACCCACGGTACCTACTGGGACGGTATCACCCACTTTGCGAATCCCACCCATAACCGCTTGAAACATTCGCTAATGGAATTTGCAATAAGCCTTAATTGATTCGCTTACCGCTCATTTCGATCCCCCTGAGCTAACCGAGTTAATCAACCGTTAACAAATCGAGAAAATGTCTTGGAGTCTATTTCTTGATTAACAATCTTTATTAACTCTCGGCGTAAATCGTATATCATTGAATATCAGGAAGACCTCGGTGACTTGAAATAGCACATAAGTTCAACAATAGTAATTTTACCATCATACTTTGTTCGTTTTAAGTATATATTTGACTGAGATCATAATTTTACTATAATACATTGCTCGTTCTAAGTATATATTTGACTGAGATCGTAATTATACCATAATACATTGCTCGTTCTAAGTATATATTTGCCTGTGATCGTAATTTTACCATAATACATTGCTCGTTCTAAGAATATATTTGCCTGTGATCGTAATTTTACCATAATACATTGCTCGTTTTAAGTATATATTTGACTGAGATCGTAATTTTACCATAATACATTGCTCGTTCTAAGTATATATTTGCCTGTGATCGTAATTTTACCATAAAACATTGCTCGTTCTAAGTATATATTTGACTGAGATCGTAATTTTCCTATAATACATTGCTCGTTCTAAGTATATATTTGACTGAGATCGTAATTTTACCATAATACATTGCTCGTTCTAAGTATATATTTGACTGAGATCGTAATTTTACCATAATACATTGCTCGTTCTAAGTATATATTTGACTGAGATCGTAATTTTACCATAATACATTGCTCGTTCTAAGTATATATTTGACTGAGATCGTAATTTTACCATAATACATTGCTCGTTCTAAGTATATATTTGACTGAGATCGTAATTTTACCATAATACATTGCTCGTTCTAAGTATATATTTGACTGCGATCGTAATTTTACCATTATACATTGCCCGTTCTAAGTATATATTTGACTGCGATCGTAATTTTACCATAATACATTGCTCGTTCTAAGTATATATTTGACTGAGATCGTAATTTTACCATAATTGCTCGTTCTAAGTTCATTGTTAAAACAAATGTGTAAATTTTAAAAATATTACATTTATGATATTTACTTGTCTCTTTTTCTATCTGCCGCGTCTCTTCAGAACGTGGGCGATGTTGGCTCTACACAATTTCTTGTTTTTTTTATAACTTTCATATAATAAATGCTAATGTCAGTGTGTCACACTTTTTCAAATTAACTCCTAGAGGCCGTAGCCCAACATATACTATTTGGGAATCACACCGACTCCCTGAGCAAATTAAAAATATTCCTGGCCGGATCCTGAAATTTCCAAATTTTTCAATACTGCGATTATTTTCGGATTCTGCTATCTTGGCTTCTACTGATAAAATCAATTAAAGGGATGCAACTCTCTAACTTCCAGTAGCTCATGTTCAATTGAAAAAAAATAGTGTTCTAAAATTACAGTGTTTCAAAATAAAATTGGCTGTGTTTTCAACTTTACTCCTATAGGCAGAAGTCCAACATATCATACCATTTTGGAATCAAGCCGACACTTTGAGCAAATTAAAAACATTCCGGTTCGGATCTAGACCCGTAATCCTGAAATTTTGGATTCCCAAGTGTTCATTATTGTGATTGTTGTCGGTGATTTTTTGGCGTGATTTTTGCGACGAATTCTTTGTACTATAACTATTTTTATAACTAACAAATAAATTTGGGAATAGTCAGAATTAATTGCGAAATCCAGCGAAAGTCACCCACGGAATAAAGATAATTGTCTGTACGGAAAGTAAGGACCTACGTACATCAAAATGTGTTTAAGAAACGGCAGAAGAATTATCGTTGAACTTTTAAAGGTAAGCTTGTAGTGCCACGCCTACATTTTCTCCAATTCTAATTGGTCAATAAATACATGCTAAAAAATAACCGGACAATTTATCTATCTCATTCCACCATAGTAAATTTGTTCCTACACTTTGTTCAAAAACAAGCTTTGCTACAAAATCGCTGATTGGTCCATTTTCCGTCCAATCGGATATTTTTCATGTATATTCAAAAATATAACCAGTATCTCTGCTGGGAGCCACCCTAGGTAGTATAAATATTGGATGCATTCCAAAAAACCAGTTAGTAGTTGTTCCAGAACCACAGTCGAGTGTACCCAGAGACAATAGATCTCATCTACTCGCTCGTGTATTTCATCCTACTCAATCCGCACGTACGTACGTACATACATACAATACAGAACTTTATGTGACACACCACCAGTTCTCAGTGGACACACCAAGTTAAATCAACTCTGTAAGTTGCAACAACTGAACAATTTTCTGAAAGAAATATTCTATTTTTAACACTGAACTCTGAACATTTTACTCAGACAAATCTTCTTTAAGACATTTCCTTACAGTCAAGGGGAAGCTAATTTTTCTCCCTTTTTCACTCATATTACAACTACTTTGTATTATTGTTGAATTTAATATACATATATTTCTTCGTTAAACAAAATTGGTTCTCATTGTTTTTTTTTCTTGATGTTTTAAATATTATGTATGAATGTTTATTACCTTCTCAACACGCAGCCACATTATCTATTTAACCCATTCAACATTGGGGACCACAACACTCAAGAAGCAATACATTATACAATTGGTCAACCCGACGTTCTAATCAACATTCTACAAGCTAATGCAGTACTTAAATGCAGCGATCAAATTTGAGTTCTTCTGTAGTTTATTGTTGCCTATCACGTTTACTTCTCCCTACCTATTTTAATGAAGGCCTAATCAAGAGCCCTGCACATGGGCTAGCTTAAATGCCGTCCGATAGGGAGGCTTTTAAGCTAGTTTAGTAATATTTATCTTCGTGTTATTCTACTAAACCCTGTTTCTGCCATCCGTATACACAAGCTCGCCTAGGAGATTATTTCTCTGTCCTGTTTGCCTTCCATATGTCTAGTGAGGGTAAAATTTTACCTTATTATGTACCCTAGATTGATCTAGCAAGAGAGGCTTCTTAATCATTACAACATGTCGAAGCGTCCTAATATATGTTACTATAATGCTAATGGCGAGATCAGCCGTTTCCATGCGGGAAACAGTGGACATTCATCGACTTAAGTGTCAACGTTAATTTCGTAATTAAAAAAAAAAAAAACAGAAAAAAGAATAGTAGTTCCAAGGAACGGTTTATTTTTAGGGAAATATTTTGACTAGCAGAGTTGCCAGTCTTGGTTACTCCTTAATCTGAGTAAAAACAGAAATGTGTTGAAACGTGACTAATGCATAGAATAATAATACAACACAAAATGTACTTATAACAAAATGTATTGAAACAAGAAAGTGTACACAATATTTACATATAGTCTTTTGTATATTCTTGGGAAGACCGTTCCTGGAGAATGTGTTGTCGCAGTCGAGCAGAGTCTCTGTATTGAATCTCTTGATTCCTCCCCCCGTCTTCCCGGTACCAACCATATTTATATGATCGGTACTCCACTATGCAAATTAGGTGGATCCTACCACAACAAAATGCTTAAAAATTCAAATGAAAGAAAACAAACCAAGTTGATGACATTTACAACGTCATATCAAATCGAGGCGTAAAAAATGGCTTTTGGATTTTTAATCTATAAATTGTCTTTTTTTTTCTTTTGTCATGTCATATTTTTCTTTGGAGCAGAGATGACCAGACAGGATGGAGTTGTGCTGCATCTCTCCTATTACAGGCATTTTTTGTAATTGCTACTTTTCTTTGACAAAATAAACAACAATGCCATTAAGAAAAATTTAGACTCTAGTTCTTAAAGTTTTAACGGTGAACATACCGTATGAAGAAAACATATCAGAAGCTCTGAAACGAATTTTAAAACAGATAGATATACGATTTGTATTCTCCTTTTTCAACACAATAGGAAAGAAACTCATCAGATTAAAAGATGAAAGAGCAGTTAAAAGTATTGGCAAACTGATCGACAAAATTAAATGCATGAACTGCTCAACAAGTTATATGGGTATGACTTCAAGATCATTGAAAGAACGACTGGATGAACATCGAAGATTGTGACAAGGTAATTTCAAATGATAACGAAAAACAAAAATTGGAAAAAAAAACTTCAGCGATTGCATTACATGCCATAACAGGTGTTATGGGGTCCACTCCTTTTTCATACAAGTGGATTCGACCAGTGTGTGCTTGTACTCCTGCTGGTGAATACTCGACTGAGAGAGATAGAGTGAGTACAGAGATACACTGATACAGTGATACAGTGAGAGTGTGAGGTAACCGCTTTGTAGGAGTCACAGTTGCGAGCACGTAGACTCAGAAGGAAGTCATATTTCGATACTGAATTTCCCAGACTGTATATATATATTATTATTGCTACTAACCGCATTTCTGGATCTACTAACCGTATTACCAATTGTATTATTACGTCAATACATTTATTTGTTATATTTCGTTCCTGCGTTTGTCATTCATTTGAGACCGGATTTCATCTCGGAATCCACAACAGAAGGTCATAGAATTAACTTCGGAAATAAAATTGACGAACCAAAGACATTTAAATCACAGAAGAGTAGCTGAACAATTTTTTTTACGTCTCAACTTGCAATTACATTGAAAATGTTATCAAATCGGTTTGTTTTCCTTGATTTGAATTCGTAAGCGTTTCTAGTTTCTATCCACTGTTTTTATTTAAATTTAAGACTGACCAAGTCTAGCAACTGAAATATCGAAATATTTCCCTAAAAATAAATCAATCATTCGAACTACAAGATTTTTCTTTTAATTAAGCAACAACCAACGGAGACAATCATCCTAACATTAAGGTTAATTTCGGTTGAAATTTATAGTCATTCTCTTATAACAGTTTTTCTACTACGAAGAGTCTCAGAGCCGAGCAAGATTCTACTAAAGAAACATCTCTAAGAGTGGTCTAAAGCAGCCCTGATCATATGGTGATTCACCAATCAGAAGGCGCAGGCAGGCTGGAACGCACAATTCCCTGTCTTTTTTAACTTTTAGCAATATTTTCTTCATGCTATCCCTACTAATCCCTGTTCTGACATCCATATACACAAATTCGTCAGGTAGATTATTCCTCTGTCTTTTTCGCTTTCGATATATCCTGTGTGTGTCAAATTCTGCAAGCCCTCTATCCTCTCATTATGTTTGATTTACGTGTTTTTACGGTTTATTAACCTTTTGCATTTTATTACAAGACATAAATTTTTATATTGAATGTTTTTTGTTGTTGTGATTTTAAGGATTTAATGTTACAAATATTACTATTTAACCCATAGTTGTTGGAGGGAGAAGAGTTGGATTCATGCCTTTCCCAAGTAAATTAACATAACGATCCCGACTGGAATTAGAACTCAGCTATCCGATTTAGATTTTAAGAATTATTTTCGAGATAATAATATTTTACTGATACAAGTCTTACTGTTTAACCCATAGCTAGGTGGAGAAGGAGTGGGCTCATACCTTGAGTGAAAGTGAATATAACGAACCTGAATGGAAATGGAACCAGGCTCCCCGATTTCCTATTTCGAGCCGTTATCCCCACCTTCATATCTAAGATTACGACATCTGGTATTCTCAGGCGGTCACTCACATAGGCACTGACCAGGCTCGGCGTTGCTTAACATCGTGATGTGACCGTAAGGCTCGACTTATACCTTGACGTAGATAGCAAAAACGAGTAGATCTCTGTAGATTTAATAAAGGGTTAAGTTCGAAATTCCTTCAGGGTAACACGGGTCGACAGACATGTGAAGAAGGTTGGATATACACAGGGGCCACTGTGACAATAACAACAAAGATGACGAGATGAGTACGAATGTAAATCATTCAAGTCCTCTTCTCATAAATTTAGGCGGAAAGTAAAAGTTTCTTGATAAGAATCAGTATCCTTCTTTTCGGATTCGTTAGGAAAACGGCATTCTAAACAGCGGTTCAATTAATTCAAATCTCTCTTAGAGCAACTGTGGCATGCAATTCTATTAACGGTTGGTTGCTGGAGATGATATAATTGCCGGGGAGATTGAAAGGGAAAGAGAAAGTCTTTGAAATACTAACGTTAATAAGCAGAAAAAGATACTGACGCTAATTTAGGATTTAACTTGGGAGTTTCCGCGGCGATGTTGATAGAATTAAGTTAAGTGAAGAATAGGAATCAAGAACAGAATAGAGAGAAAGCAAATGCCTTTTATCTGACTAATTATCGAACCTGCATAAAACGAGATATAGCTGTGTGCTGAAATCTGCAAAGCCTATTGATTTCAAGATAATTTACTGAACTCATCCGACGGTCTTTACATAACTACTGTTCGATCCTCGGCATCGAATATCGATTAGCTGCTATTCATTATCCCTATGATCAATTAAAGACGTCAAACCGATTACATTTCTGCTATCTACCTCGCTGAAGAAGCACCCCGTATAGCATAAAAAAAATTACTATGAATGGCTTGTATGATGATCGAGCTAATCATTTCTTCATATTCTTCCTGTACCGTGTCCCTTCAACACGTTGGCGATCAGTCCTGGGTATGACGATAAACTACAACCGGCAGTAAGGCTTCTGATCGGCAGACGTGCCGTGGCTTCCCTCTGTCTCTTCCACAAGTATTTTCACGGCAACTGTTCCGACGAGCTACTTTCGCTGGTTCCCGGACTGCATGAATTTAAGCGGGCTACCAGGCTGGCATCTCGGTCCCACCCTTTCACTATCAAAACGTTTAAAAGAAACCGTCTCTTCTACTCAAACAGCTTCTTCCCTTGCACTTCCCTTCTGTGGAACTCCCTTCCCCTTACTTGCTTCCCCTATAACTATAATCTTTAAATATTCAAGTGTAATATCAATCGACATCTGATGCTCTGAGCTTGTTCCCCGTCCTTCCCTGTATCTTTTTTATTTTAATAGAGGATAGACTAGAAATAGTGATCCGAATAGTAATAGAATATATAAAAGAGTGGCGATCGTTATTTAGTTTGGGAGAGTGCCGCCATTGAATATTATCCAAATATTAATCTACGCCCAGGCCTTTTCCCTATTTCACCTTTCCTAACAGAATTACTTCTCTCCCAAACAAACGTACACAACTGTATCGAGAAATCAAAAGAAAATGGTTGAATCCGTCAACACAACAATAAAAACAATATTTCCCCACGTGACAGTACTTGACGTAATTTTCAGTTGACAATATGAATATAGTAGCGTTTTCTAAATTCTTCCAATTACTAAGGACATTTTATTTTGTTATTGTTAGTTACTTTGTTTTAATAAATTCATTTTGTTTTTGCCTTGAAAAAGACCACATTGGACGAAACGCGCCGGTTAATATTACAGTTTTCCTATTGTCTTACATATATATATATATATATATATATAAAGAAATGGACAAAGTCCGACAATTTATTTATTAAAGACATTTTTTATGTTTAACGTTGTTATTTTATAGATACAAGTATTTAAGCAAATGCTCTGTTTATGATAAACAGTATTAAATAACATTTACCGGCCTAAATGTCCGAGAAATTTTCATAGAAAATATTCGTTCTTTGACAGGATTCGAACCTGCATCCTATACGGAACCGTCATATACGCTGACGTGCCTTACCTCTAGGCTACAAAGAAGCGTTCGGTAGGAAAGGTCGAATTTACTGCTTATAAACTTCAATCTTCCATGAATCTCGTACATTCATAACTGCTCTGGCGTATCGAATGTAAACAAATGACGTCATATATTAAGAAATGGACAAAGTACGACAATTTATTTATTAAAGACATTTTTTATGTTTAACATTGTTATTTTATAGATACAAGTATTTAAGCAAATGCTCTGTTTATGATAAACAGTATTAAATAACATTACTGAATCCTGTCAAAGAACAAATATTTTCTATGAAAATTTCTCGGACATTTAGGCCGGTAAATGTTATTTAATACTGTTTATCATAAACAGAGCATTTGCTTAAATACTTGTATCTATAAAATAACAACGTTAAACATAAAAATGTCTTTAATAAATATATATATATATATATATATATATATATATATATGTGTGTGTGTGTGTGTGTGTGTCCACCGTTATCCACATCACAAGAGCCAGCCTAAGATCTTCCAGCTGCCATCATGGCACAGATATA